AGCGCATTCGAGAGTTCAAATCACCCGTCTCGTTTGCCGGCGGACCATTCTGATGCTCTGATGATTCTCCACGAGGAGGCCCGTGCGGTTTCTCTGCAGGCATATCCTTCGACGATGTATCCAGGCGATGTGAGCCGGTGAGATCTAGCTGAAATTCGGTAATCTGAAATCTCGGAGGCTCATTTCTTGATTGCTCTCTGATATCCGCTCCGTGGACATCAACACCTGCTGCTGAAGGAGAAGGGGACTCATGCTGAGTAGCCTGTCCATAAATCGGACTGTTTCCATCAGAAGACAGGTTCTGGGCCGCTTCCTTCCGCGTTTTGGCTTTGGAGCGTCGTTCCGTTGGATACTGGCATTCTAGAGACCTGTTCTCACACCGCACGCATGGGGAACCACCACTGCATCTTACTCTGGCTACTGCGCATTTGTAACAGGCTCTGAAGGTCTTGACCGTAATGCGATGCATCCGATCCTTTCCTCCTTCGGGTCCCAAGGTATGATGACTTAGTTCATGACGATGGAGTGTATCACTTGCGACGGCAGTCAGTTTTGGAATACCATTATTATTCGACCTGGTGAACACTCTGATACCGAGGTCGCAACTGCCATAGGGGTGCCACGAGAAGGGACGAGGGAAAACAGAGAAGAAGATGACATACGTTCTTGAGAAATGACGTCCACACTGCGCACATTCGAAAGGTTTCTCCTTAGTGTGGCTTCGAAAATGACGCTTCAGATGCTCGGGTCTTCGAAAAGTACTATGGCAAATCGAGCACTTGGTTTGACCAGGGGCGGAGCCAAGCCGAAGTTGACGAGCATGATTGATGCTTGTATCGTCTGCTCCCGTTTCGGCCTCATGGCGGTTCGCAAGTTCTACCATGTCTTGGGTTAATCCTTGACCGGTTTACCACCTATTTGGCCTCTCTGTCGCATGTATAACAAAGAACAAGTACGTACCTTGGCCAGCGTCGCTCGTTTCTGGGGTCATTGCGCCTCATGGACGATTTATTAAGTTGAAGATCAGCAGAATTTGGCATTGCAGCTGCGCGCATGGAGATCAAAGGGTCCTTGAAGAAAAGGAATAAGCTTCACGGAAGTTCTGAAAGCGCCAACATTTTCATGATCATTGTAAGTGGTGAGCAAGAGCTCTTTGGATTCAAGAGCTGTTATTGATGGTGGTGGAGCAAAAAAGGGAAATTGCGGAGGCAGACTGCCCTCAGACAGTCAGCTTGAGGAGGCGGGAGTAGCTTAGCTTCGAAAGGCGAAAGGATTGTAGCAGCTGAGTGAGGCAAAAAGCTAGAGAGCGGGGAAGCGTTCAGGAGAAACTGACTCAAGACCAGGAGACAAGAGAAGAGAAATGCGAACCGTGATTCCTTCGTCCCATACGAACCCCAGGTCGAATTCCCCGCACTTTCAGTTAGTCTCTCGGTTAATTAACCGGATGAATTCTGGGAAGGCTAAAAGAGAAAAAAGAAGACTTTAAACCCCCAAGCTTAATAAAAAGGCGCATTTCAGTCTGAGGGTCATTGGAATCCGAGAGAGTACTGGAAACGTCACTTACCTAGGTGTATGCCGAAGGTTAAACAAGCATGCGCGTTACAATTGCTGTGTATGGGGAGAGCATCATCATCATGTGTTATGGAGAAGTTCTCCGGAGAAATTACTGGGTACGGGCTGTCAAGTGGGTAAGGTAATTTTGCCTATTATTTCACGCGATGCTGTGAACCAACATCCCTTTCTGGAGGCATTCTATATTAGAACCTAAAATGATATCATTAGTCAACACATTGGCACAATCACCTGGAAAAATAGCAGAGGTAAACTGCTGTTGTAGAGAGATAGTTCTTGACATTGATTAGACGTACCAACGACCATTTTCTGTGCCGAGGCTGAAGCGAAGGTCACACTTGGAGTACTCCCCACAGAGCATGGCCAAATTCACGTACATCGCTTTTCCAATTCCAGAAGCAGTACTCTTCTACTTCATGGCTGGAGTGGCATTTCGAAAAGTCAGTTCGGTTGACACTGGATGAGTTCTGCCAGGCGTGGCGGAGTCTGACGCACGGGCTCTGTAGAACTCTCAGGTCCGCACTCGGCTACCTCGATCAACAAATGTAAATATATTTCCATCTGACGCCATGATTTATTGATTTGGCCCCTACAACTTGTTCAATTCGAGATGAACACTATAGTAGGTATCTTTTCGGAGCCCAGTCAATGGAGAACAGGAACCTTTTAGGCCATTATCCCTAGAAGGCAAGGCGACGCAGGTCTTGTGCATGGAGAGTCCGACTATCCATTCGGGCCGTGGTCATGTCAGCGAAACTGTGACAGCTCCGCAAGAAGCTACTGCTGCTTTCAATGCAAGCTCTCCTCAGGCTGCTTCGCAGAGAATGGACAACAAATCCAGGGGAACCGCTGATGCAAAACATCATGCTACCGATACGGATCGTCCACCAGATGACAGATCCGCAGGACTCCCCGAACCTGGGTCCGTCAAAAGCAAAATTGGACTGTTTACCGCACAGAGTACGCAAAAAGCATCGGAGGGGGAGCGTGATAAATCTGCGACTTCCAGGCCGCGGCCTCCCCAGCTGGCTGCTGCACAACTCGCTACGCAGAAACCGCCGGTGCCCTTGAACAAACCTGTAACCTTGGGAAGAATGAATTCAACGCCAGAACTGAAGCAGACAGAGCCTCAGGGAAGCGACGACAGAGCAGGCCCTGATCTTCCAATGTCGAAGCCTGTTCGCAACATGACGGCAGGCGCCGATACAGTTGAAAATTTTCTCCAAAACAACAGGGAACTACTGGTCAGAAACCCACCAATTCCTCATCGAAAGCCTGCAACGCAGCCAGCTACTTCACCTAGTACCCCGGATATCGCTCCAGTGTCTGTTACAAAACCCCGTCCTACTCCACCTCTGCCTCGGAAAGGAGGTGCAAAACCGGTCTCGAAAAGCCCTAGTCCCAATGAACAGAAGATTCATGGACATCAGAGCCACGAACCGCTTTCAAATTCCGACGTGGATCTTACAGGTGCTGATGAGGCGAGACCTAAGCTCCCCCCACGGCCAGACGCTTCATTCGTGACACACATTTCCCCCAGTGATCCTCGCGTTCTGCTGGAAGCGCACGAACATCACAAGCGTCCTTTGACTCCTAGCTCTCCATTGTTGACCAGATCTTCACAGAACAACGGTAGTAGCCCTGACCTCATCGATCACTCCTCTGGTATAGACGAGGAAGGACTGTCGGATGCGATAGTTGCATCATCACTGGCCTCAAGGAAAGCACCATCCGCAAAAAAAGTTCCTCCACCCCCTCCACCACAACGGCAACTCAGGACCCATTCGCTCCGGCACCCAAACACATCCAACAGCAGCTCTCCACGCAGCTCCAGTCCCACGCCAAGCTTGCGGTACACTCTCCGGCCGCCGACTAAGGCTGGTGAAGAGGAATCCGACCATCATAAGCGCAGAAAGCACATTATACCCAGACACCCACACAAACATCACGAGGGCGATCGAAAACGATGGCAAACCGAGGTAGCCGAGAAGGAGAGGAAGAGGTACGAGGGCGTTTGGGCTGCAAACAAGGGACTGCTGATACCTATCAGCGATTCGAAGGAACGATCTTCGCATGAGGAAACGTCCAGCGAAGGTTATCCTCCAAGTGCATCTGAGATGGTCCTGAACATTATTGTTCGCGACATATGGTCCCGAAGCCGCTTGCCGTCGAGCATTCTGGAGCAGATCTGGAATCTTGTTGATCGGCAGAAGATTGGACTATTAACGAGAGAAGAGTTTGTCGTTGGCATGTGGTTGATAGACCAACAACTCAAAGGCCACAAGCTTCCAATGAAGGTGCCGGACAGTGTCTGGGACAGCGTGAGAGGCGTACCCGGCGTCAGAATACCCAAGGTGCCTCCCCGATAACGCAAAAGATCCATACACCCACGCATCGGCGCCAAACACCGCAATACTAGAGACAATGGCCAAGATTGCTGGGCTCTCCGCTAGCTTCATGTATATGCTCGAGCAGCTCCGGAAACTCGGGTGTCGAATCTAGCATAGAACCAAGTATTTGGAATATGTCACCTCTGCATCCACACCGGGGCCCAATTAAAAGCGGACTATCCATAGCACCATGTAGAAATCATGGTGTGATGTTGTGACCAAGGCTATTAGTTATAACGGTCTTGCCGCATAGTGATAGGTCATTAAAAACACGTATATAGCAGGCGTATCTAGACTTGTAACAGCTACCACTTTCAGCCGAACAGTGCGGATCTGCGTCACCCTCATTGAGATATTGGGAAGCACAAATGCACATGAGTGTTAGATCCCCGCAGCAAGAGCGATTGAGATCTTTTCTGTAAATAATATCTGCCGCGTTGCAAGGTTCGTAGAAAGCCTTGGGGGATTAAAAAACAACCGTCACGTGACTATTATACTCCTGATGCTCTAATCGGAAAGTAAACAATTGTTGCTTGACGGCCTTCCCATCATGGCAAAATCCATCACTTACCACCGCTTCTTGTTTATCACAACCACCTTTGGGGATAGAGAACCTGATGCGTCTCTTCCTTATCCAGAGCACCCTATCATCTTTTATCTCACGAGTTAATGCGAGGTAAATCCTACGCCCCATTTACATTTCCCTTTTCGTGGACCAAAGCAAATCCCGAACCGTGGGAGTTCGGGATTTGGATCGTTGGCTATGGATGATTAAGCCACGGCGCGACGCCCCAGCTTTTAGCAGTAACTATATCAGACCACATCTCTGGGAACCCGATTAACCAGCACCAGAGGGAGAAAAGTTCCGTGATCGTACGGCCCCTGTGCCCAGTAGTTATGCGCGAAGGTAACCCTTTCGAGGCGGTGGGTGTGATATAGACCGCTTTCATAAAGCCCGCACGAGACTACGACCAAACCCCGTTGAATGAAAGGGCCTCGAACCACGAAATTGAATGATTTGATTGACCGGGATTCGAGATGGTGCTGGAGAACCTCCCACACCCTGTTAATACCGGAATCGCCCCAGTTACACAATCCAAGACTTCGCGGCCCACTGTGGTTCGGAAGAAGTTTGCCAAACCGCCAGTGAAAGTAGCCTGTCTGACATGGTAAGCCGTCATGATCCTTCTTCGTGTTTACTGATCCGTGTGGCCCTCGCGGTAATTTCTTCGACTACTTGGGTTTCTCTACTTCTTCTCTTTCTGTCGCTGGTTGTTGCCTTTGATACTGACTCTGATGCGACAGTCGTGCATCGAGGACGCGCTGCGATGGTCAAGAACCATGCTCCAACGTATGTTTACTTACACTATACTGACTCTCCTATGTTTGTCTCTATATATACTGAGACAAGGTCTTTCACTTGAAAGTGTCTTAGCAAAAAGAAGAAATGCTCGTACCTGCCTAGTAGAAGAGGCGGTCCAAGGAAGAAGAAAAAGAGCTCGTCTCCGTCGGATTCAATAACCCGGCATGATGATATGCAAAACTCTACCCTCACGCCAGCCTCTGGCTTTGATGACTGTACAGTGAACGACCCTTCTCTGTAATTGCAGCACTAACTTTCATGCAGCCTCGGCGATGTTTGGGCAGATTGATGTACTCTCCTTGCCAGGAGCTGGGCTGAGGGCGTTAGATTTCTCATCGGATGTGAATACCATGTTTGCTGATCTCTTCAATTCGAACAATGGCACCAACACCCAGGGTCAGATGGGGCCGACACCTTCGCCTTCAAACATACCATCGCAGCCTCTGGTCAGGACGTATGGCAGCGAACACGATATGTAAGGCTTCACTTTGACCGGTGGCAGCCAGAAGGCTTGGTGAACGCTGATTCGAATATAGATTGAATGCATACTACGACTTCATTCACCATTATTTTCCCATACTTCCACCACGAGTCGCTCCGCGCTGTCCAGACAGGCCAATCAATTCCGCTGGTCACTATTCGTCGTCTCCTTCTGGAGAGCCTTTACTAGCATACAAACCACAATCTCCCCTCAGTCTTGCAATCTCCGCTATATTGGCCCTGGTGCCGCATCCCGACGATCCTGAGCCGTTGTCTCCGGTTGCTGTGCTGCGACGTAGAACTTATGCCCATACCTTTGCGCAACTAGCTAATGCTGGTGTTGAGGAAGATTGCGAATTACAAGCTTCTTCGACAGATCCGTCCCAAGCATTATCGAACAATCGACCCAGGATCAACCGGGAGCCCTTTCATCCACGGACACCCGTGGAACTCGAAAGCCTTCTTGCATTGCTGATCCTCTGCGTGTATGAATATACGCAGCGAGGAAATCTGCTCAAAATGAGGTATCGGGCCGGCCAAGCCTTAGCGATCGCGCTGGACATGTCTCTTCAGTCGCTCGGGGAGGAGCATGATGAGTGCGCAGAGGCTCGGAGGAGGGCCTGGTGGATGACGGTACGGTCGTTGATTAGGTATCATCGCGGCGCGTCCACTAATTATCTGCTGTCTAGTACTATTGCGTGCTTCAGGGATCGATTGTCAGCACAACGGTAAGCCAATGTCGATTTGAAACCGGTTCGCGAGACTCTTTGAGTTTGAAAAGTAGCTAACCTTGGGATCTACAGCCGCTCTCCATAATTGCCAGCGACCCTCAATTTGTTACACCTTATCCTCGTTTCTCTGCAGATCCAGAGGCAAGTCTTCCACTCCGCCTTCAACGCTTCCAGGATGACGTTCAAGCATACCACACCACAACCAAATAGCACCATTCTGACCAGTTTTTCAGGGATGGGCTGTTTTGATGCAAGCCCAGCAAGTGCTGGTCTCCGCAACTCAATTCGTCATCGACTTGAAGAAATGCATGTCGACCGGCGCTAACATGACTTACATATATGAAAGAATGCAGCAACTCGACGCCTGGGCTAGCTCCGCAATAGCACAATCAAATCTCCTTCCAATGGTCCCACAATCTATGGGCTGTGGTGACGAAGTGGAGTATACAACCGCCCATAGTATACGCGCTATCGCGCGAATCAAGCTTTCTAGGTAAGCTGTCTTTGGTGAAGCTCGAAAACGTATTCACAAAGGTACTGATACGGAGCTAGTGCACAAATCAAGGTACACCGATTCAGGGCGTTCTCGGATATTCCACTCTTCATCAAGAAGCATTGCGACCTGACCGCAGCTAATTCCAACAACATGATTACGGGCGATTCGGCGTCCAAGGCGTCCAAGGAACAGGACAGTATGGCGAACATCTCGTGTTGCTGCAGCAATCTGGACTCCTTCCGGCCGCCGCCGTCTACATCGAGCGATTGCACAGCTTCCGCCTCTTCCTCCGGCTCTGCCACCTCCGATTATCACTCCATGGTACCATTCTCATTTACCAGCGGCTTCCCATACAGCAGCCAGCACTCCGCCAAGGTCTGCTTGAAAGCGTCTCTTACGATCTCACGCATGTTCCCGAGCCTACCCCTGCCACAGCCGCTCTACGCGTCGAGTGGCAGTAACACGCCCAACCAGGCTCTGCCCTCATCCCCACAGAAGCGGCTACCGCGAACAATGCCATCGTTCGCATGCTGTCTGATGCAAGGAAGCTACGCCTTGTTGATGATATTCTACAAAGCGACAGTGGAGAAACAAATGTCGCCAGATTACGTGAATGAATCCACAAACAGTGCCTCCGATCGACTGATCGAGGAGATCCGTCAAGGCTTGGAGCGTGTCATTGAAACCGTTAAAAATTATGCGATTGCTTTTGAGGCGTTGGATGGCATGCGAGGTAGGCAGCCGCTTCAACGATGTCCCGAAGACAGAATCTGACTGACCCTCGTTTCACAGACGAAATCGAAGGTGCATATCACACGGCGTTTCCTCCGGTATAATTTCTCCTAGGTAGCTGCTATTATGTCTCTCAGCGGCTTCATTATTCCCTTTTTTTTTTTTTTTTTTTTTTTTCCCCTTTCCCCTGTGTCTCAGATCACGATACAATATTCCTTTAGAATTAGTGCAGCCCTGGTGGTCTGAGAACTGGACATTGTTATCTTCTCTCCCTTCAACTCATTTTGGTCAAAGTATACGTGCTGGCCTCGTTCCTCCCTACCACTCACAATGATACACGATCACCTCCCGACATCTCTCATCTTCTAATTAGTGATATTCTTCTAATCCGCGTACGTGGTATATACACAGTTGTTTTCACTCAAGATGACCATGTCTAGGTATCTATGTGAAGAACTGGAGTAGACTGCAACACAAAAACTCAATCACTCTAATTCTAGACGCAAAACACACTCAAAAAGCAATAGTAGGACAAGAAGCCAATCCATATACGGGCGGAGAACCACCAGCAAGCGCCCGCTTAGAGCTTGGACCTGATTCCCTCGAGTCTGAATTTGACATCCTTTAGAACTTTGCTCGAGGGCTTCCAATCATCGTATTGCCTTAATAATTGCATTGTCTCTTCATAAAGCTCGCGGCGAACATGCTCTTCTTCGAGTATACCCCGCATGGCAAAAGGTAGAATATAGGGGTTCGCAGGAGATGGGTGACTCCTTCTGACGTCTAAGGTAGCGTTACTGACATTAGACGTTTCCAGAGCGAATTCAATCGCCAGCCTAAGGAATGAACGTTAGCCTTACGAGGGTCAGCACCAAGGACAAGCCAGCGCACCGATAAACAGCCTCGTCGTCATAGAGACGAGAATGACCTTCTCCTGTATAGAGGCTCCCTGCCAGTGGAGAGCTCAATTCTCGGATGAGGCCATGGTCCGAGATCCCCAGGTTACGAAGTTTGAGCACGAAACCGACCAGATGGGAAAGACTGTCAGAAGAAAAGGACGTTAGCAAGGTAGAAAAGACCAAGCTGCGAAATCAATTAACGTACAAGCTTGGTGCATGGACTCTACCATCTACGAAAACCGCGCGGTAGATGTAGGGATGGACCACTGGTGAGAAGAGAGATGACTAGGACAACAGTTAGACTGCGGCTGCGAAGTAATCCAGTTATAGTGATCAGCGCCTTACCTCTAGAGATACCAGCTGGTCGTCGATACTCCCAATGTAGGATATCCGAACGCCAAAGTCCAGAGCGCATTTCAATGCAGCTTCATAGTCTTTCGAGACTTGGCTATATGGAAGAGCAAATTCAAAAAGCTCCCCCGCCGAACCACTTATCCATCGAGATCTATAATCTGAGAATGGCCCCATATTGACGCCGGCCATAGCGCACACGCCAACACGAGTGGCATTCAAGCAGCCAAAAGCAATGAGTTTCGCAACTAACATGATCGCAACCGGAACACCTTGACTGTGACATGCAACTAGGATAAAATCGGCTTTCCTGATTTTCTCCACCCAATTGAGGAGCAGCTTCCATAGCAAGTCAACGCGTTCAGCGATACGGCCCTCGCCTTCTAGTGCAATCTTCTCGACATCGCAGGCATACCCATGACTCTCTGTCCACTTGTGGATGGCCTCCGCCGCCATGGCGGCAAATCTTACGGACGTACCTGTTGGTTGTCCAAGCACTGTCCGTATTAGTGGAGCGGGAAAATACCCATGCACACCAATGGCCAATGCCTTTTTGATGCTTGGGGGATCTCTGATCATATAGACATGCTTGTTATCAGGCTCTCTGCGATAGTGCAAGAACCGTCCAATTGTTTGCACGAGAGAGGGTGTCTCTCTCACAGCAAAAGTGTCCGAAAAGTGAGGTAGGACTTGATTCGGTAGTACCTTCTGCAATTGCTTCGCTGCTGCTGCCTCTGACACTCGTGGTGGGGGTGATTCAGGAGGAAGGGCCTGCACATGAGAGGGGATTTGGTCAGTGGCAGCAGCACTGCTCCTAGGAGTCTTGATTTTGATGCTGCCTTTCTTGGTGTCTTCAGCTTTCTGTTCCACTCCTGTCTCTTCCTGTAGACTGTCCCGAGGCTGGTTTGAAGATGATCCTTGCGCGCTTGAAGCCTCAACCGACGGAGGATCTGCTAGCGCCACTTGGTTCAAATTATGCGATGAATCTCTGAACCAGAACGACCAGCCCGACTTAGTGTTCTTGACCTGTGTATCAACCGGGCCATCCGTTCTCTGAGATTCCGCAGGCGGCTGGTTTGAAGACGATATTGCATGTTTTGGATCATGGACGGGTGCATTTACAGCAGAAGAAGGCTGCAGGGATTCGGTTTGGGCGTTATCCTTGTGTTCTTCAGGCCTGAGCGTATCGGCCCCCTGTGGCGGCGCAGACGAACCATACCACATTTGAAACCAGGTTCGCTTCTGTGATGACGTAGGGGTTTCTGTGGTCGAGACGGAGGGTGTCTGTGCACTGCTCACAGGGTCGTTTGAGCGAGTTTCACAATTCTTCGGCGTTTGCTCTTCCGCGACCGGCTCTGTCGGGGTGCTTTCGGTCTCAGGCGCTCGTTCTGACTGAGCACCAGTGGGAGAATCTTCAGCTGGGTTTGTTGTATAGAACCATGAGAACCAGCCACTAGCTGGTTTCGAGGACGTTTGAGTCCGATCCGGTTCCACCGCTTCAGCACCTGTCTCTGATGGGGATGTGTCGGTTGTCTGTTTTAGTTGCTCTCCGTTCTTATTGTCTGTAAGCACTGCCACTGCAGCCTCCTCGCTTGATCCTTCCTTTTGGACCAAATTCGGTGCTGGACCGGCAGTATCGAACTGGGAATCCAGTGTTGGAGTGGACGCAGAACCATCGGAAGCAATGTTGATCTTTGTTGTCGTAGCGTCGGCAGGAAGAGATCTGGTCGATGCGCCTTTTTTCTTGGTAAGCTGAAGCGAAGGATTTCTATGTTGTTTTGGAGTGTGAAGGAGGGATTCTGAGGAGGTAGTCATGCTCGATGCTACATTTTGAGCAACCGAAATGCTCTCGCGGGCAACCTCGGTAACAGGCGCCGCTTTAGATGCTTTAGACACCGCGGGCCAAAGAGCAGGGTACCAGTTCTAAGAGCGAATAAGATCAGCTTTACTGGACTCAAATATCCCTACTGTCCATTGAATGACAAGGAAAATTTACTCACACCAATTTCCTGCTTCTGCGAGATTGAGCGCTTTGCGCCTACTGGAGATGAGGTTACCTCGCTGCTCAATGAGGCAGATGATTGCGACTGCGCGCCGGACGGGCTGGGCTTTATTCTCTTACGAGATCCCGTTGGCGCCATGGAAGATGGAAGTAGAACATTACCAAGGAAAATATCAATGTACAAGTCAACAAAAAGATGAGATAATTTAGAATGACGATGGGGGACGAGTTTTACAGGAGTGCCTGCTAGTGATCAGCGTCCAACAGAGCCGCCACTGTCGGCGTGCTGCACCACAACCAAGCTGTTGGGCAGAGAACACACACTGATATCATGTCACATGTTATCCGTGATCATTCCCACCGCCCTTAGATACCTGAGGCATGAAACTGTGGCTGGTGTATCTCTTCACCGCCACGGGAGTTCAGGCGGGACCCGCCAAAGACCAGAAAAATTATTTCCTTCGGGGAGAAATTTATCGGCGGAGGAGGATAACGCGCTGGATAAGCCTCTGATCATTTTCTGACTTCCTTTGTTCATTGTGACTTTTTCTCTGTAATCATCCACACCCCGTCATTTTTGTCGTGCACTTCCCGGATCCTGTCGAGCCTGTCTCGACTACCCATTCATAGAAATGGCGATCCAAAAAAAGGTACGACAGGGTCACTTCATCTCTCTACGTTGGAAGACTTCTTTGCGCTAACGTCGACCAGCACGGCAAAGGTCGTTTGGACAAGTGGTATCGCCTTGCGAAAGAAAAAGGATACCGAGCAAGAGCTGCTTTCAAATTGATCCAGCTAAACAAGAAGTATGGTTTCTTGGAAAAGAGCAAAGTCCTTCTGGATCTTTGCGCGGCTCCCGGTGTACGTGTAGCCATTCATTTTTCCCCGCTGATTCCTTTACTTATGATAAATTAGTCTTGGTGTCAAGTAGCGGCAGAATGTATGCCCACACAGAGCATCATTGTCGGTGTCGACCTCTCCCCAATCAAGCCAATTCCTCGAGTCATTACCTTTCAGAGCGATATTACGACAGAAAAGTGTCGCGCTACGATTAGACAGCATTTGAAACACTGGAAGGCAGACACTGTTCTTCACGATGGAGCTCCCAATGTTGGTACGGCGTGGGTTCAGGACGCTTTCTCCCAGGCGGAGTTGGTCTTGCAGTCGATGAAGTTGGCCACGGAGTTCTTGGTTGAGGGTGGTACATTCGTCACCAAGGTCTTCAGATCGAAGGACTACAATCCTCTGCTCTGGGTTTTCAAGCAGCTCTTCACGTCTGTGGAAGCGACAAAGCCTCCTTCTTCCCGAAATGTCTCCGCAGAAATCTTCGTCGTCTGCCGTGGATTCAAAGCTCCAAAACGCATTGACCCCAAGTTCCTCGACCCCAAGCATGTTTTTGCAGAATTGACAGATGCTACGCCAAATAACGAAGCGCGTGTATTCAACCCGGAGAAGAAGAAGCGAAAGAGAGAAGGTTATGAAGAAGGTGATTACACACAGTTCAAGGAAATACCGGTCACAGAGTTCATCAACACCACTGATCCAATCGCGATTCTTGGTACTTATAATAGGCTCAGCTTCCAACAATCTCCGGGAGGAGATCTTGCGTTGGCGACTCTGAACAGACTGGAAGAAACCACGGACGAGATTCGAACCTGCTGTGAGGATTTGAAGATCCTAGGCAAAAAAGAATTTCGGAATTTGCTCCGATGGCGCTTAAAGGTCCGGGAAAAGTTTGGGCTTGTAGTCAAAAAAGGGCAATCCAAGACCGATGAAACTGAGGAGGTCGCAGAGGTAGCTCCCATGGATGAGGAGTTGGCCATCCAGGAAGAGCTACAACGTCTCCAGGAGA